GGCTGGGGGAATAATCAATGCCATTTCAATGCCTGGATGAGATTTTTTTACTGACATTTTCTTTGCTGTGTGATTTTCTGCTGTGATGTGACACAATTGCATGTGCATGCACTTCATGAAAAGCATTTTGTGACCCAGCTTTGCTTCCTTTTCAGAACTGTTTATGCTCCATTTGGGTCTCTGCAGATGTGCCAGCACAGAACAGGGAACAACACAGCTTAAGAAACAACACAATTCTTTGAATAAAAGTTCTGCAGGTCTTCCACAAGAGAAAGGACCAAATACCTAGAGAATAGCCAGTCTGTTCTCTTTGGTGTGGTATGGTTTGATATGTCTCATACTGCCTCTCCTCCACTTGCCTGTCATTTCCTGCCAAAGATGAGTTCTGTAATGAGAGGCTTTGATGTTTCATTGCAATTCACCTGTTATCCCCATGCCTCTTCTGATGATCTCAGAACCTTTCCCTTTTATGGGCAGCACTGCATTTATGCAACAAGGTTTTGGTAGCAGGAGACTGCAGGGGTGGTTTCTGTGAGAAGATGCCAGAAACTGCCCCTGTGTCCACTCCAGACAGCTCCAAAATGGACCCACCACTGCCCAAAGCTCTGCAGTGCTGGTGGTACCTCTGAGATAACACATACAAGAAAGGGTAAAAGAAGCTGAGAGAAGGCATGAGAAAATACAGAAGAAACAGCCCTACAGATACAAAGGTCAGAGAAGAGGAGGTGCCCCAAATTCCGGAGGACCTGGGGTGCCCCGGGTTCAGAGAGGCAGCAGAGGTGTGGAGGGCAAAGTTGTGAGGTCATGTTTAACCAGCCAATCAATGTCCAAAATGAAACCTCTGTGCCCACATACACAAGCCTCGTGTCATCTGAAATTACATGTGCCTCTTGAAGACAAACAAATTACTGTAGAACAGAAAGGTTATGGGTGGCTAGAGTGTGAATGGCAAGGGTATATTCTTCCTAAAACTGGCAAAGTATACGGAGTTTTTAAAAGAGTTATGAGCAGCCAAACTGCTGAAATTTCTCTGCCTATTATTCCAGAAATCCAGGAAGATCTAGATCTACTATGTAGAGCCCAGAGGTGAAGAACTACACTTAGTCATTACAGGCACAGGACAGACAGTGACGAGAGCAAAGAGAGGCAATGGGGTGGACAAACGCTGGGATTCCCAGCTCTGAACAATGCCTCTCCACTGCAAGTTGCAGGGCACACTTTTCCTGCACTGGCCATCCCCCCATGCCAGACACATCATCTTCTCCATTTGCGGTGAGCAGCATCACTGGTTGCTCAGGTTTCCTGCATTTTTGCAGAGCAGAGGACACGCAATTCTGCTGGACAAAGCTGTGAACATGCCCATCTCCACAGCCTGCAGGCTGGTGGTTCAGCAAGGCAAAGAGCAGCAGAGCACAGATTTTCTAGGGACAGCGTGTCCCTACATGAACACTGGGATTGGAGTCTTCTGGAATGCTGGACTTCAGATTCAGCAGGTTCCTATATGAGCCTGCTAGGGCTAATTAATGCTCCCTGGGGGCACACTCCAGATGGAAGGGGAAAGTAAGAGACAGGCAGCCAGACAGGCCAGCACTTCAGACATCTGAGCCAGTTGGGCTCCACGGGCAGAGCTTTCTGCTTGCCACTTTTCCCAGTGAGTCTTGCCTGCTCTGCAGCATCACGCCAGGAGAACCTGAGACAGCAAAGCTCTGGTGTCCGTGCAGTTCCCTTGTTGCAATACATTGATCAGAGCTCTCTTAAAGAAAGTGGCCTGGATATCTGAGACACCTATTGATTGCTCCATTGGCTCTCTTCCTGCCCTGATCCTCATTCACTCGGCATTGCCTGAATAACCTGCACATCTATGTTAGGGCCAGTCTCCCCAGATCTTAAAGGGCTACATTCACAGCTATTGCCTAGCTTCAGCCTACGTAGGGAAATGTCTGGTGACCCTTATATGCAGTCCCCAAGGGGAGGATCCAAGTCTCTCCTGCAGCATCAAGCTGAGCATTTCAAGTGTAAAGCCGACCTTGAAGTTGTGGTTATTTGTGCTGATGCCATCTGCTTGAAGAACAAGGTTAACGCCACGTGCCCAGCAGGAAGGAGGCGGCATGTACATCATGTATGGAAATAATAATCAGGAAAATGAGAAGAAATCATGAAGCCCTTAACTAGTTACTAATGGAATATCATATTTTTCTTGAACAAAAGGGTAGTTTCTTTACCCAGAAACATCCCCACTAACTTACAAAACCAGTGGCTTGCTCAAGGTCATCAAGGAGAAAACTGCATGGAGAAGAACTCATTTCTGGATCTTGCCTTTAACCAAAAGACTGCTTTTCTCCAAACTTTTGATAATCAAGCAGGACAAAGAACATGGCTTTGGAACCTTCTGCCATGCATGAACCCAGGGATGATGAGAGAGATGTACCAAGGCAAAGTAGGAAGGGGAGCTATTAAAAGGAAAAATAATCACAGCCCAAATATCAAGAGACGTCTTGTCCTAATGAGAGTTTGGAGACTGCAGAATAGGCTCTCTGGGGAAACCAAGACATCAGGGATTTTTAAAAACAGTTAAACTACCAGAATGGTACAGTTGGGAACACTCGTGCCTTGGCAGAGAAAAGGGATGGATGAGCTAATAGGATGACAGATCAGAGATGGAAAAGACCAATGAACCTTTTCTAATCTGAAGTCCCTTGTCAATTCTGCATTTTGAGCAATTCAAACAACAATGGATTTGTTCTTTCTAGAAACTCTTGGCTCTGTGGAGACCAAATAGTGTAACACCATTTTTCTCCCTTCTTGGATATGGCTTTTAAAGATATGTACTGATTGAATTCTGTATACTAATACTCTGTGCTTCCACCAAGCTTCACATAAAGTTAACTAATTGGTCCTCACAATTCTTTTGCAAAGCAAAGCATTATAACCCTTATTTCTCAGCCTGGGATACTGAGCAAAAGAAAGAAAAAAAGATGCCTGCCCAATATCACTTGACCACTTTCTGTTATGACACAGTACCCCTATTTTCAGATTGCTGGGGTAGCCTCCTCTGCTCTTGCTGATAATATCATGTGCTCTTGTATCCCACTGCTATCAATAAATCTTTATGCTGTATTTTCCACAGCTTTAAATATTATGGGCAGGATCACAGATAGACTAACATCAATAGCAAACCACCCTTCCCCAGTGACTTTAATGATGCTTGATCAATCCCTATATGAATAACTAAATACACTTCAGCACAAAAGCAGCCATAGAGTCAAATTTCAGTTTGCCATGAGTAGTATCCCACAGGGTCTGGGAGTTCAGGCACAGCATGGTGTGAGTGAATTTACACTGCTTTCCAGACTAACTCTGGTCTGGACGGAGTTAACTGTTTTCACAGAACTTGGAGGCTAAGACATAAAACCCTTCACAGGACCCTGCTCTGAACAGTGCTGAACTCCCAGAAGCAGAGATGCCCTGACCACACAGTCAGCACAGCAGCACTGGCTCCTGTGACTGTTTCCCCAGCTGCCAGCTCCAAAAGGCATGACTGCTCAGAAGCAGGACAGCACAGACACTGGCAGCCAGCAAGCCTGAACCTGTGCTGCTGCTCTGCAGAATGACTGGAGACACTACAGGCATTTAAGGTTGTTTTATGGGATTCATATGAATAGGCTGCAGTGCATGAACAACCTGCACTGAAGCCAGTGTCACCAGTGTATATTTGTTTTAGTGAGTAAGGGCATACATCCCCTCCCTGAACTACCACATGAAGAGAAGCACATTTCCAGTGGTCTCTAACTACAAAGTAGGTGCCTCCCTCCCAGTAGGAGATCAAGATCCTCTGAGTCTACCACCTCTATACCTAGGTCAGGAAGGGCCAAATTACAGAAGCTTGCATCTCCTCCCCTTGGTAACTGGTATGCTCTAGAAGGAAGATATTTAACCACAGAAACTACACATCCATCAAAGAAAAAAACAGGTTTAATGTCTCATCTACATTTTTAACAACACTGGCTGCCATCAACCTGCATCTCAAGAAATGAGAGAGCTCTAGTGAGAACCAATACACACTCAACTGACATTGTACAATTTATTACCAGCTGCTGTGATGTCATGACCTGGAAGAAAGTTGTATGCTGGCATCTTGGCTCCAGCATACAGGACTCGTGCATAACCACAGCCAGCAGCTGTTTCTTGTGGTTAAGCTGAGAGGACCTCGCTCTGCTGGTATAGCCATGCAGAGGGTTATGTGCAGTGCTTCTTCTTCCTTCCCCTCCTCCCCTCACTACCTTTCCCAGAGGGACCCAAGGGAAACAAACCTTTAAAGTCAATCCATAAGAATGTGTTTAATTGCCACTGAATTCCCTGTGGTTCCTCATGAATGGACAAGGATTGAAAAGGGGGGTGTGGGAGGAAAAACAGTACAGGAGAGAAGCTGAACACTGCTCAAAGAGCGCTGAACAGATCAATAGTCTGAGCAAAACACAGGCTGAGTATGCAGGGCAGGGGACCCACAGCTCCCAGACAAACCTATGCTACCAACCATCTTCAGAAAGTCTCCCGAGTGGTAATAAAGGCACATTGCACACTGTGCCACAGCTCTGCATTAACTCCATCCTTCCCTTATGATGAGCTGCCAACTCAGTCATGATCATGAAAGAGCCTCTCCTCCTCAACACCGAAAAATTACTAGGGTGCAAGAAGAGAAACACCCTCCAGACCAGCATTCTCTTGGGAAAGGGTAGTCTGGAACCACCAGTTTCCAGTTATTTGTCAAATTTGCAAGTGCTAGAAATAATATCCGAGCATAAGAGCACTGACTAGAACCATTCTCCTCTCTGGACTGACCTCTTGGTTGCTGCCCATCCTGACTCCGACGAAGCCTGTAGAAAGATGCATTCAGGAACACAAAGAGGGCAAGCATGTAGCTAGCCTGGGAGATTCTGCAAGGTCTGGAATCCCAGGCACTCTTGGCACAGAGAAAAATTCTCATTCTGACTCTGTCTTACCTTCTTTTAGCATCCCCACTTTGAGGCATTTCATGAAGCGACAGGCCTGACAGGACTTGCGCCTCCGTTTCGTGATCTCACACTCATTGGTGGCCGGGCAGCTGTATTCAATATTCCCTGTAATCAAACACAGAGATGGTCACCCAGGAATCATGTTCTCCCCATGGATCCAGGGACAGGCTGCAGTGCCCAGATATTCCCACCACCATCAGTCTGTAAATGCTGCATGTTTGCTCATTCACTTACACATCCTCTGAGACTTTACCCTGCTGACCTAGCCAAGGGGATGACTGCAGTGCTGGGCTTTCAGGCATGTGTCTTCCAGGCATGTTGTCATCTCTTGTGCTGCACCCCTTGTAACTTGGCCTGTTCCCTGAAGTCCAGGGATAAGAGTGGGAGCAGTTCAGACATTACTAGAATTTCCTTTGCTGCCAGTCTTGCTTCATGTCTGTGGGGTAGATATAATCTGTCCTTCCTTGTCCTGCTTGGGGAACCAGGGAGCTTACAAGACTTGCAACTTCCCCCTAATTCCACCCCATTCCTCTCACTACTACTCATCTGCCCCCAAACGCAGTTTGTCAGCAAGAGCAGAGGGTGCTGCACAAGTTGCTTCCATTCAGGCTGTATTTCGTCATTGTGCAGCATCTGAATTTCAATAGCCAGCCATGTATCAACATTCTCAAAGAGCTGGAAATTGAAATTCAAGATAGATCTCAAGGTAATAAACAAATTCCTGTTCTAGACACAGAACATTACAGACCCGTGAGCATGGTGATCTGATCTCATGATCAGATACTCGCTGTGCCCCACACAGGAACAGAACCAGAGCAAACCTGGAAAAAACTCAGACACAGTCTCACTTTGGGAGGTTTTGCCTTTGTTTGAATGCCAACCTTTCTCACCAAAGCCAGGATCAGAGCTCTGGAGAGATGCAAGATTTTTATTTTTTTGTTTGTTTTGTGGTCCAAAAGCTGAAAATTTGCCCCCTAACACAGAGACACCACAGTAAGGGCACTGAGCCTTTATAGCAGTAGCAGACAGTGACAGCTCTCATTTGGAAGCTGAAGGTCCCTCCGCAGTGTCAAGCAGATCCCCAAGCTTCTGCATGACTTTACTCCCTGGATCCTTTGTCAAGCATGGTACTGGGAAGAGTCTACAAAACCTACATCATGACTAAATGGGAGAGGGTCAGAGGACATGAATGTGATAGTTGCCAAACACACACTGTGTGCAGCCCGAACAAGCAGTTCTCTAACACACATCTGTACTGGGATCATGATTGCTAAAGAAGAGGCTAAGCATTGGGAGTTTTATATCAGGCCCAAAATCATGTTGTGCACAGCAGAGATTGAGAGCCACAGCTGGGCACAATCCCTGCCATTACTGCAGAAAGCAGGGGCATCACCGGGGAAGGCACAATCAGCATTACCCAAGCAGAGCTCGACCAGAAAAAAACTGTCATTTCCAAAAGTTTACCAGAGTTCTCGGATTTTTTCTTTTTCTTTTTCTTTTTTTTTTTTTTTTGGTGTCTCAATTTCTTTTATGGGTCCTGGGGCTGGCTGCCAGCACAGTGAGTTGCTCACAGCTCCCTGTAATTTCTGTAAGTGCCCTGTGATAAAGTGATGAGATTAACTCATCGAAATTCCAACAGCCTCCCAGTGGCTGGCAGTCACACCACCAGCCCAGCTGCCAGCACAGGGGCCTCAGAGAGAGCTTCCCTTCACTGCAGCAGCTGGGGATGCTGCAAGGTCCTGCAGAAGACTATCAGCACACAAAGGTGTACACAGACATGGACAACTCTGTATCCAACAACAGAATGTGAGTCAAGTCTCTATGTGTCATAAACTATAGATTATGTGCCCCAGAAGGAAGGTGCAAAGAAGGGACAATTAAATAGACAAGGCCTTGCTTTGAGCTGTTGCTTATTAGAGGGATTTCCTTTACTTAGAAAATACTTACATTTGATCTGAAAAAAATGGTAGAACCTCACTAATGCCATGGCACAAGATTTACCTAAAAAATGGCCTCAAAAATCAAGTGGTAGGTGAACAGATCAGAGTCTGGATTTCTTCTAAGCCTTCATATATCGCCTTGGAGGGCAAATCACTCCCTCTTCATGTCCTAGTTTGCTCATTTGAAAAATGAAATTAACACTAAACCTACCTTCTGGAGAGACTGAGTCTTTATTCATTAAGGTGTAACTGTACTTTAAAGTCTTTAGATGAGAGATGCTACAAAACAGCAAAGGACTATTAAAGTGATAGAACATGTTTTTTTTTATGCTGGAGAACTGCAAAAGTATCCTATTTTCTGCAAAATTAGACCTCTGACTATTAAACAGCTTGGAACATAATTTCTGTTGCATATATAATAGGAGCACCTCAAAATTGCGCACCAAAATTTGGTCATTCAAGAGACCCTGTATTCACCCTACCTCTCTGGAACAGGATGGACTTGGAAGACAAGAATGCCTCCCTGAGCTTGGGGAGCATAGTAACGTCCCACCCATCTCCTGCTTAAATTAGGGACAGGGTCCTCAGGGGAACAGAGTTTGAAATCAGTACAGCACTGAGGACACAAGCTACTCCCTGCTTCCTGATTCTACCTTTCTAGAAAGCCTTTCTGCAAGGAAACTCATGAAAGACTAGATAAAAATAACCATGAAATTCCTTAAATAATTTTCAGCTTCTGATTGCTAAAAAGCCCATCTTGCTTTTTCTCGTTTCTTCTTCATTGCCATTCACTTCAATTAGTCTTTCTAACTGAGGCATCATAGCTCAAGTCCTGGTGTGAGGAGAGGTACTTTGTGAAAATCAGATTAAAATCTCTCCATGATCTGCATAAGGTAAGAAGGGTTATTTTTTAAGCCTCAGCTTTCAAAGGAAAGGATTCAAATGAGGCTAGGTGGAAAATGGGATACATTCCAGAACTGCTTGCCTCATCAGGGTGGCACACCTGACTCCTGTTCACAAAAGAGGGCTTGGACATTTCACAAAACCTCACTCAAATCAACCTCCTGCTTGTACAAGCATGCAGGACAGTGGTTTTGGGGCTCCCTACTGGCAGCAAGTTTGTCTGTGGGGTTTCAGACATAGAAATATTTTACAGAATTTCCACAGAAAAGGTCCTGCACAGAGCTTGCTGTACAAATGTACTGAGGCAAACAGAAAACACTAGACTAACAGAGCTGAGGTTGCACTGAAGATGTTTTTTCTTAAATTCAAGTGATAGATCTGAATAGTAATCAGCTGTCAAGCACTAGATCATGAAATACTGCACTTTCCCTGGGTAAGCTTTAGAAATTTTTGGAAAGCTGTGAACTCCCACCTGAAAAGTAGCAGGCACTTTTCTGAGAAGGACAGAAGGACAGGACAGTGCCTGGCTGATGTGGCTGCTACTGCAGGGATACAAAACCTCCTTTGTGCATTTGGATTGTAATTCTCTTCTGCTCAGTAAAAACTCTGTCAACTGCTCCTCTTCCTGGGAGCCACTCTAAGCACCACAACAACAACCAGAAAGCCCTAGAAGACTTTATTACAAGCCTGTTATAAACCCCTACAAGTCTTCTGAGCTGCATTATCCATCTCTCAAGCTCCTTATTGGTGTAAAGGCATCCCAACACAGCAGTTCTGTTGCTACACTCACTGAGTTCAAAGCTTGCAAGACTCAAGGTGGAAATCCACAGACGCAAGCACTTTGCCTAACACACAACTTTCCTATCCAGAAGATGATGTGTGTCTCTTTTCTCTGAATCTCCAATGTTGTGTTGAGCTTTAAGCTTTTTTTTTTAAATAATAATGGGTCATTTTAGAAATAGCCTTTATTTTCATCATTTGAGGATGAAAAATAGATGCAAGGTAGTCATAGTCATGAGTATACTTAATAATAAAGGACTCATATCATTATATAGCATTGTTATTAGTTAATATTCAAAGTAGGCAAAACCACCTACTAGTTGTGACAATAAATGAACAAAAGACAATGACAAAATATTTGACTGATAATGCTCTACCTGCTGAGCAAACTATTAAGAGAAGGAACAGACTTTGATTGAGAATTTCTATCCTGTAAAAAATCCAGTATTTGCCTTTGTCTAAATTTGGTTGAAAGGATTAGGTAGGATTTCCATGGAACAGAAATTAAAAAAGCTTTTATTTATAAACATCCCAAACTATCTTATATGTAACACACTCACTCCTTTACATTCAGCTAATATGAAATCTTTTGTTTCAAATCAGACCTCTCTTGAGTACCAATAGCAGGACATTTAAACATGTCTGAAATTCAGATTCTCTTCTATTTGCACTAGATTGCACATTCCACAGTATTTGTAGTCAGGTGAGGAAAATGCAAGCTGCCACTAGAGTATAATCCCATGAAACAGTACAATGATAGGGAAACAGGTTAAAATTTTGTGAGACAACCTAGCTGACTGAAAATGCTTCAGGCCAGTTTAGGTTTTCTGACTGCCTCAAAGTATGGTAAGTCCAATCCTGGGGTTCAAAATACTATGTTCAGAGGGAAAGACCTGCAGCCCAAGGGTGTGTTCTCTCAACTCACCTCAGGTTTTTACTTTTCTATGTCAAGCATTGCCAACATTGCAAAGTGGAAATGACACACAGGTTTCCAGGCCTCAATCCTTATTCTATGTAACACAAGGTAAGAAAGGACAGAAGTGTTGACACTCCCCCATAATCTGTGGGACAGGTTAAGGTGTGTTGGGTGATCCTGTCTTCCTGTCCTAGTTCAGGAAAACCAAACACTCCATTTCAGCTAGAAGGGAATAAATGGTTTGGATTTTCCTGCCTTATTTTTTTTCTCCTATCATCAAAATTTTTCTTGGGAAAATCTGACTTGGTAAAAATTCCACTTTTCTTTGGAAAAAGCCTACTGACAGAAAACTCCCACACAGCAATACCAGTGACCTCAGAGATAATCAACCATGTCCATGCTGGCTCTCAGTCTATCTTCTCCCCATCATTTGAAAAGCAGCAGCCCTTGTGTTGTCCATGACACCCTGGCCTCACCTGGCCTCGTGAGAAAGTGAGCTGCAAATAAATCATATTGCTTAGAGGTCTGCAGCTTGGATGCCCATTCTTCCTGCTGCAGCTACAGCGGCAGAGGGAGTTCAAAGGCCATTGCAAGATGCTCCTACCTCAAGATATGCAGGTCTTATGTGAGTTAATGCAGCTAAAAAAACCCTAATAGGCACAGGGTAATTTGTAGCAGGGGAGGGGGGGCTAGTTGGAAGGGGGACTTCTTGTGAAAGTCTGCTTCATGATCAGGGGTATCTAGATAGGGCTGCAGTAGTTTAGGAACTCAGCACAGATTTAGACCCATTTTATGGCAGCATGCACATGTAAAGCCAGCAAAGTAAATACAGTCATAGTATTCATTAATTTTTCACCTGTCAATACTCAAGCACAGAGAAGTGAAGTGGCTTGTCCAAGACCACAAAAGCCTGATGATAAATTTACCCATTTAATCTCTTGAGCATCTGGGAAATCCTGGGGTTATTGCTCCATCTTGGTGCTCAAACACTGAGTCAATGCCACTCCCACATTCTGAATCATGGCACTAGGTACTAGGGTACTGGGAAAGCAATTATATAACATACACATCTGCATGCTTTCTGCAAAGGCTACATCGATGTTAGGCAGCCTGGATGAAGATGCTTTCACTTTGTTAAATGCTTTAAAACAGCTACTGAATATAGTAGAGTTGTGGGATAAACACCTTTTGGAAATGCTCTTGCCATTCATCTTCTCTTTTATGTGACCCTCAAATCCTTTTCTCCTGCACACCTAGGGCTACAGTTGGATATCATGCCCACAGCAGCAGAGCTGTGGGAACAGTGTGTTTTCTTGACTCAACCAAACTCTGCAGACCTATTTGCTGCCTGCTTCCCTGCACTCAGCCTTCAGCTGCATAGCTGAAATTGCTCACCCTCAGGCACAGCACACTTCACTCTCACACTCTTAGGAATAAAAGCATTTTGGTACCTCAGTTGCCAGCCCAAGCTGATGACAGGGTGAGAGAAATTTTCACTCATTCCCCCCCAGCCCTGTCTGCTGCATGTTAACAGGCAATCAATTAGGGAACCACAGAGAGAAAGAATATGGCTAGGGAAAGGAAGATGGAGGGAAGCACTCTCCCCTCTTGGGATTCAGTCATCTGGCATATTACCTGGCTGATACAGGCTCCATGTACTGCTACCATGCATCATTTTCTTTTGATTCTCTCTGAAAACTCTTCAGAAGTTCCTATGTTTTTTTCTCCCTCTCAAGGACTCTTCTGCTCTGACACAGAGGTCCTCCAGTATCATTCCCATGAAGGGGTAAATAACTGGTCTCTTCCTGTATTAGGAGACCCCAGGACTTTGCTTCAGAGTGCTACCCTGTCCCTGCTTTAGCACCTGAATGTGCCTAAAAGAAACACTAGGAAGGGTCCAAGGGCTGGAGAAGGGAAGGAGTCAGTGCTGACAGAAATGCAAGTAAAATTCACATTCAATCACAGAGATTCAGCAATGACAAATTACAGAAACCCTGCCAGGGAACAGGCCAATTCCCTAAGGACAGCCATGGCATAATAAAGAAAGGAGTATCAGTGAGGCAGAGTAATTATTTCCACAGCTGGATTTCCACATTAAGGAAAGATATCTAAAATCTATGAAAACAAGATAGATATAGTGACTTTTGTGGAGACCTGGGATAAACTGCACCCTGTACCATTCAAGAGTTGAACATCCCCAGCAACAGAGTGTAATCAGATCCATTCAATTAACAAAGTGAGTGGTCTCTCCACACTTGCATTTGTTTCATTTCACAGGAGGCAAGGAAGTATTGATGTGGTGGACTAACCCCAGCCAACAGCCAAGTACATGCACAGCTGCCTGCTCACTGTAGACCTGCCTTCAGTCAGCACACCGTACTTGGGCAAACCCAATACACTTTCCACTGAAAGATGAATGATCCTGTCTTTTTTCCAGCTAGTGGAGGAAATAAAGGGGGTATCCGTACGTCCCGGCATGTTTGTTCACGTGGGGTATGGGTATGTAAGTATACCCAAACATCCACGGATATTGGAGGTTGTTTGGATAAACTTCTGCTTTTGATTATATTGTAGCTGCACATGTGCACATCTGCAAACACTTTTTGCAGTCAGGACACAGCCATACTCCTCATACCTGAATTGTACATGAAGGAGCAACTCACTGCAATTCATCTACATGTGCATGCATTGAGGATTTCAAAATCTCCTGAGGAATTGCTCATCCTTAGTGAGACTGACAAAAACTTCACTGCCTAGTTTTTTTATCTTCAAAGAATCTGCATCTTAACGAAAAAGGTTGGTAAAACTCGAAAAGGAGAAAAAGAGTGACTCTCACAAAAGTTCTCTGTCCAGATTTGTGCTGAGGTTTGTATGGAGTTCATGGCTACATATCAGGACTGGTAGGACAAAGAATTTCTCTACTCTTGTAATGCTGGAGCTTTCACCTTAAGGTGCAGATATGTCTACATACATTCCATCTCTTGACAGAGGCACCTACCCTTCCAATGGGCCTTAAAACACCATTAGAACACAAAGCATTTCCTTTCCAGGCCTTACTCCACTAGATGCCACATTCTCATAGTATCAGTGCCACTAGCAGAGGCAGGAAGATCCACTAGTCCAGATACCCAGATCTGGTAGCCAATCAGGCAAGGAACTTGGCAAAGGTTCCTACCATCACACAACCTAACTCCATGTCCATGTTGATTTGGAAGGACCAGAACTGAGCAAGAAGAAAGAAGAAGCATACAAAAGGATGGAGAGTTAGGTGCATTAAATACATTCTCCCTTTCCCCCCTTTATATGACACTGCAGTCTCAGCAATGTCTGGGGCCATGTCCCTTTAACTCTATGGAGTGAATGCCTCAGTTTCCGTTCCTTCCCACCATACCTTGAATAGTCCTCTTGAAGAAGGCTTTACATGCCTCACAGGAAGCCACGCCGTAGTGGTACCCAGAAGCAATGTCCCCACACACCAGGCACAGCCGCTTGGGGATTGCGTTGAGCATGTACTCGCACTTGGTGGGTGAGTCCTCCATGATGGCGCTGGCACAGTCGTCGTAACGCTTACGGCAGGACCCGCCGCCAATCCCCGTGCCATTGAACATGGGTGGCGAGTCTAGGCCATTGGGGTGGCCGCCCATGGCGATGCCGTAGCCACCGCTAGCGTCGGAGGAGCCGCTTGGGCTGTGGTGGCTGATGGCATCGATGCCAGAAGATGGGCTGGAGGGCTCGGTCTTGATGAAGGACCCACAGCTGGAGGAGAGGTGCCGCTCCTCCGTGGCCATTCTGCCGAGCAGCCTGCAGGGAGAGAGCAAAGGCACTCAGCAATCACCTTTATGAAAAGAACTTTACCAGCTTTTCAAGCTCTTCATATTTATTTTAGTCACAGATAGTCTTATTCTTTATAAAAGTGTTCAGTCTTTTCTTGGAAGACTGCTAAATTTTATATTTACAGCAATGAGTTTCAGGGATTACTTGTGCGGTGTATGAACAAACAAATCCCACTTTTATTTGCCTATAATGTATTTTCAGCCTGTCAGACTCCCTGAACATCTCCCGACTCTCCTTCTCAGGAAATGTAGTTTTGCCATGTTCTCCTCATTCAGCTCTTCATTATCTATATGATGGCTCTTCATGCAGGAGTTTTTGCAGATCTCTTATCTGCTTCATCATCCATCTCAGAACTTCCTCTAGTCTGGCTATTTCTGTTCAGTCCAGAACAGAGTTCAATGAGCCAGCTCCTCAGCAGCACAAAACTGGCACCGCTCCATCACTTCTCCAGCTGAAGGTCTGGACAGTAGTCAAGACAAAGGCACGCCATCAATTACCTAGTGACGTTACAATATTTTCTATGTTATTTTCAGTCTACATATTACATAATTCCTTGCACTGTTTGCTTTTTTTCCCCTCTTTAAATGAAAATCTAAATTGTTACCATTTCTTCAACAAATAGTACCAAGAACTTACTTACTTACTGTTACTTACTGCAACACTCGATCTTATTCCTGAGTTGCTACAGTTAATTTAGAATCCATTAAGATGTATGAAAAAATCAAATTAATCCTTCTGGTGTGCAATGTTTTGCAATTGTCAACAGTGCATTTCATCTGCCACTATGCTGTGCAGTCCAGACACCCAGCTTTACTAGGATCCTCTGGAGCTCTTCAGTCTTCCTTGGTAATTTGATTTCATCTGCAGTCTCATTGTTCACCCACTTCCCAGATCATTAATACATGGATCAAACACACAATACTGATCTTTGTGGGTGATGCATGTTAACCTTTATCATGCTGAAAATTGACTTCTCTCTTTTCTGAGTTGGGTACGTCTAGCCTTTCTTTCTGTCTCTGACACCTTTTAATTGATAATAGTATTAACCTGAGAGGTTAAATTTTCCCTTCAGCAAGACAATTTGTCAAGGGCTTTAAGAGAAACTAAACATGCATTTTCCTGATGACATGGCCAAAGAATTCTGACTGACTGGAGATGCTTGACTTTTCTTCTTGTAAGCTCTGCTTGTTTAAAGTTACCACACCATGGTCATGTGGGTAATTTCTATTTCTATTTCAGTTTCAGCCTATTTACCTGGTATTTGTGGCAAATCCTTCTGCCAAGAGATCAAATCCATCAGGGGACAGGACAAAACATTCTGTGACTCAGCAAGGCTGGAGTGCACACTTTTAAATATCACATCTGTGTGTCTGTTGATAGGAATATAGATGTTTGATATGCAGCAAATTCACAGTCCTACATCCTTATGATCTCATTTGACCTAAGTATCTCCTAATTTTCCCTTCTCTGTTTCATCCTCAAAGTTTGACCTCATCTCCTATCTCTGGGATCGATCAGCCAAGTTTGTTTTTTGGCAAGACTGTTGACCTTGAGAATATGGGCAGGCATCTCACGTTCCTCAGCTGCTCTGCCTGGTGTTACTTGAGAGGAATCCAGGTTTTGGGCCCTCTCAGAGACAGTGTGATGAGTTGATAAATGCCCATGCTTTGCCCAGAGGGCCACAATGAACTAGAGGTCATGGAGCAGTTACAGAAATTGCTGCAGATGCATTCATCTCTATTCCCACAGGGCACCTGGACATACTGCAGATCTTCTGGTGTAACAACAGCTGACTGTGTGAAGGAAGATGAAACTTTGCTAGCTGAAACTAGATCTTAGCATCTCACAGCAAAGCTGAAACCTGCTGTGCAGGCTCTGGAACCTCCCCATACCTGAGAACTGCATCTGTGGTAAAGAAATTAAGATCACTGGGCACAGCAACATGAGGTAAAGGTTAAAATGGAAGGCAAAGCAACCATAAAGCACTGTTCTGCACTGTGGAACTCCATGGTAAGAGAAGCTGGAGTTGTAATTTTTAAGGCAGACAGAGGAAAACACTATGAAACAGGAATGACAGGGAGATGAGCTGTACTAGGTAGGTTCCATCAGTGGAGCCCAAATCCCAACTTCTGTTTCTTAAATAGTCCAACATTCATGGATGACTTCAAGAGCACTTACTGAGGTATTTTCCTTCAGTGGAGAAAGAACAAAAAATAAAATCAGAAAATAAAAAGAAAATAAAGTTAAAACAAAAAAAAAAGGGGGGGGGGGG